ATTTTGTCCCATATCATTTTTTTTCACAGTCTCCATAGACCAAAAAATTGAAAATTTGAGAAAACTAAAAAATGAGTCGAGAAGCAAGAAAATAAGCAAATCTCCAATTGGATTGCACCCATGCGTGGCTTACTAAAAATTTATGAATGGTTTACATTATTTAAAATTTTAAACGTTGGCTTCTAATTTTCAAATCTGTTTCGGACTGGACGGATTGTGCGTAGTCCTATGAAAGCTGTGGGTGTTCTTTTTGGGATCAAGGTAACATCCTCCACCCCAGCGCTGAATTTAAATTAAATTTGTTAAGCGCTGCATGTAAAATGCTCGATTCTGATTGGCTGAAAATTCCCAACTTAGAATCAAGTTAACATCCTCCCCCCTAAACGTATTTAGGGGGAGGATGTTAACTTGTTCCTCTTTTTGTTCAGGTTATTGGGGTTGCAGTTATTATCGGAGGGATAAGTTTCACTCGGTCTGAGAAGGTTATTTACAAATATTCAGAAGATGTTACCCGAAAAGATGAATCGCAGAGTAGGTTCCGATTGACCCATGAGGTCTGTCGGTCTCTAGTCGGTTTGTAGCAACCACAGAGATCGATTTTGTCATAAGTTGCAGTCGATTCTCGCTTCAAGCGGAATGCTGGACGCTGTTATCGGAAATCATGTATTTTACAACCTATATTTTTTCTTTGGCAAGGTTAGAGATCAGAATAAATTTATTAAATTTTTCATTAGTTTCGTTAGTCTCAATGAGTTACTCCGAAGCTAATCGTAGCTTAGACGTAATTTTAGCAAGCTTAGAACATCCTTTATTGCTTCGTGAATTCAGAAGTGGAAGTATACGGAGGAGACTGTTACAAGATAGGATATCTTTTTCAATAAATTGTAAGTTTTGTTCTATTTTGAGTATTCTTATCTGAGTCACTTCATACACTTGAGTCTTTTTTAATGTAATTAAGCTGAAAATTTTTTTGACCAGAGACGATCTCAGAATAATTTTTTTTGAAATAGAACTTTTATAATTCAAAAGATTAAATATATATGCAGGGGCGGATATAGGATTTTATCAAAGAAGGGGGGGTCGGATTTTCAAAAAAAAAATCAAAAAGTTTGTCGATCTTTTCCTTTAGATCGACCGAACTGATCTTTCCAGCTCGCTCTCCCTAAGCACGGTTTAGTCTCTCTTTTGGCGAAAATTTTTGAAAAAAGTCCAAAAAAAGGCTCCCCCTCAAAATTAGTATATAAGGCGCCTATAGAAAATTTTTAGGGTCGGTCGGCCAAAGATGGATTTCTTAAAAAGTAACAAGTAACAAAAATACCTAAGGAGAAAAGAAGAACGTAAAACCGCCCCTGTGCATATGGTTTTTGGCTATGCGTATGTTTTTGTTGTTCCAGCTTTCGAAGAAAACGGAATATTTTTGCTCAAGTTTCGGCGATCGAAATAATAGTCAATTTTCGCCAATCAAAATAATCGTTTTCAACAAAGTTTTTATAGCTCATTGAAGGTTTTGACTTTCTGATTTAGTTGACTAATGCTGAGAGCGAAATGCGAACTTTTTATGCGAGGAAAACTATCCTGCTCAACAAAATTGTTCCAAATTAAATTGAGGCTTGCTAATTGGTCGTATTAAGTTCGAACGACTCGAATCTTCACACTTTGATTTTCTTCAAAATTTATAGATTTTCAATATCTTATTTTCCCAAAAACAATTCGTTATGAAATAAGGGACAGTTGGAACATTCAGAGCTTTGCTTTGATATAAGAGCTCTCTTGTCTGTTTTATTAGGAGTCGTTTTCTCTTTTAATTCTTCTCCATTTGGTTCAATTAGTAACTTTGAAAAAAGAAATCGAATAGGGAAAAAGTGTTCACAAATAATCAGCAATTGGTAAATTGTAACAAACAGAGCACTGTTGAACATGTCATGCGAAGTGATAAGTTGTTTGTTAGTCAGTTTCTTTTTTATCATACAAAAAAAGCTTAACTGAAAATTATGCGGTAACTCATGATTAAAAACGGAGAAAACTATGATCATTTTGTGTGTGTTAAAGTGAATTTAAGGTTATCTGAGTTTGGTTATTATGATTACCGAATTTAAAGCGATGGCTTGGTTCATGGATTGGGTTTCTTATCTATTGAGTATAACTTGCTTTATTTGATTATTTGTATAAGAAATCTACATGAGTAATTAATATTCATTAGCAAATTTTATATTTTGAAGTTGAGCTCATATTAGAACAGCCAGAAAGCCTACGAGAGGCATATTGAAGGCTGCTTCATACAGGTAAGATTCAATGACATTTTATCAAATCAGAAAAATGAATGAAATCAAGATAACACAGTTTTATGGAAAAAAACTTAGTTATAGTTATTAGTTATGCTTACAAAAGTATGAAGCTAGAATTTGGTGCAAAAAAATGTCTTCAGTTACTATGTGAAAGACAGTTGGATCCAGATTTTTAGAGCCGGTATCCCAGTCGTCAGAGTTTGTTTGTATTTTCCATACTTCGAGTCCACTGCCTGGTCCCTTCGAAGAAAGGGTTTTTCAGGTCTAACCGAATACTCGGGGAAGTTAGAAAGCGTTAAATTCAGTCCAACGCTACAATTAATTAATTAATCAAACAGTCACTAACTATATCTTATGACTCTAATACTAAAGGCAGAAAGCGTTTTTGGCATCAATTGATTAAAAAAACTGGGAATATCTAAGCCGCAAAATCATCAAGAATAGCGTTTTTGCTTTTTTCTAACGACTTTTGGTATTCGACTTTTTGACAGTTTTTTGATTCTTTATGATTTTTTTCAATGTCGCAAAAACAATAGGTTGTGTGAAGTTTCTCTTAAGCATAAGCGGCTACAACACCAAATTTTTTGTATGTAAAAAGTCATGATTTTCGGAAAAGTCAAATTTTGGTTTATTGGCCGTTTTTTTTTGGAAACTCAAAAACTACCCTGCCAATTCTTAAGCTAAGAAAACTGCAAGACATCTCCAATCAAGAAATTTGGTTTTGGGAGTTTTCTCTGCTCAAACGACCACGAATCTGCGGAAGGAAGCGTTTTTACGAAATTATCTAAGTGCAATCAAAGGAAATTAGAATAATTTTTAGAAAGATTAACAATGAGAGATCCAGAGTTACTTAATTTCAAGAAGGGTCTCAAGTTGAAAGCAACGTCAATCAACTGCGCACCACAATTTTCTTAAAAACGAGATTGCCAAAGTGCTCACTCACAATGAGGCTGACTCTGAAAATGCTGAATTGCTGCTTGCTTCGAGTGAAATACAAAATTTGGAGAAAGCAACTATGTCAACAATTAATCTTGGCAAATAAGCAACTAAAAGCTTACACGCCAGTGCGGCAGCTCCAGAATGGTTGAATACATCAGGTCCCGCTCAGACCAAAAATATTTGGTTGCATAAAAAAGAAAAGATTGAATTTGAGCAATTTGTGCAGCTTTTTGATAGTTTAACAAAACAATTTTCTCAAGTTGAATCGTTTTCTCATTGTGGCAAAACCACGAGTGTAGTTATGTTGAAAACATTGGGTAATTTGTTATCAGAGATAGCCTCACTAGGGCTATCTAATTTTGTCTCGATAGGGCTATCAAACTTTATCTTATCTAGACTACATCCCCATCTCCCCACCATCATTTCCTCAGTTTCTGAGGCTGTCTCTTTACTTAATGTAAATGTGTGATCGCTTTTATCTTATATTGAATCCTGTTAATAAGCAATGAGCAACTAGAAATTCATAATCAAAGGCACAATCGATCAAAAGTAACCTCTTCCTAATAAATCTGGTTCATCATAGATTATTGGATTTTACCTCGCTACAAACTATGAGTTATCATACTTGTAACAAACCGTTTTGCATTCTCTCAAACTGATAACTTTTAGACAAAAAACCATAGTTCCCAAATAAAAAGGTTTTTGTGTAAAGCTGCACTGGCAAATGGTGAGACAAACTTGAAAATGTCAAGACGTAGCCCATGATTTTCAACACAAAGTTTTTTAAGGTAGAAACTTTCTAGCCATAAACAAAAGATTTCGCTTTTTGTTGTAAATCTGAGTGAAACTCAACATTTTAATTTAAATAACAAATCTCTAGAAAATTCTAGAAAATTTATTGAAAAAAATTCTTGAAAATAAGGCTTTGTTTCTTAGACCGTTCTAGGAAGTCCTTGGCAATCCCCGTTTTCGCTGACATGGTTTTCCCCCTGCCCATGTCCGGCATCAGAAATGGATGTCCATAGAGAGATTACAAGTGTAGAATTTCCAGTTGCATAGATAAATGTATCACCAATAGTTGTTTTTATAGCCCTTCTTTTAATTGAAGATTCATTTAACAATTTTAATTTTATAATTGACGCTCATGTTAAATTTTGTGAGATGCTGGAAATAAAAAAACTTTTTCCGGACACAATCATTCCCGACTTTCATACGTCTTTTTTTAGTAACAAGACTCAAGTGTTTCTGCAGCCCGCGTCGAGGCCCGCGACTTAAGAAAAAAAACCGGCCCAGCACCAATTTCACAATTTTATATTGGTGCGACTTTATATTGGCAATTTCTGACCGTCGCGACCAAAACTTGCCAATTGATGACACGCCCGACTGAGAAAAAACCGCCGCGACGGGCGCGACGGGCGTGACTGAACAAAATTCAGTCTTTTCTTGAGTTGCCCCGTTAGCCTTTTTTTAAAATCGAACCGTCAATTTTTTCCCAAGTCGCGCTGTCAGTCTTTTCTTAAGTCTGATTGAACTCAATCTAGCATTTCACAACTCCATATTTGTCCGACAATGACGGATTTTTGAGGTTTCTGTTTTAACGAGGCTTGTTTATCATTTATGAGGTTCGCTCATCAATTTATTTAAAACCTATATTAATTTTTAGCAAGTCCAGACAAGCCATATCTTCAAACTGGTTTTAAATCTGGCTGGATACTAACAATGCGTTTGTACGCGTACCTTAGTAAATGCATATTCACTTGAATCAAAATTCAACTGCTCTTATTTAAACGGCTTTTCGTTTTTATTCATCTATATTTGTTTAGTCACTCAAAAACTATGTATGTTAACTATATGTTAACTATATTTGTTTTTTATATATATCATTTCATTTAAAATTTTGTTCACTTTTTTCGCCCATTGTATTAGCTAGCTCAATATGTTTATTAATTCAAAAATTTCCTAATGACTAAAACAAAAATTAGTCAAGTATCCGAAAAACCAGAACCTCGTCAGAGAACCAAATTTAAAATGTCGACTAAAATTCAACTAGAAACTCAGGAAGAAACGCAAGACGAAGCGCAGTCTACTTACCATCAAGATACAACCTCTTCGAATAAACAAACCGTTGATCGCAGTCATAACATTAAACGTTATGCATCTTTGGTACTCCTGGTTATTCAAAATGCCGTGTTAGTCCTGATATCCAGGTACTCCCGAACAATGCCTGGCGATCGATACTTTGCTACAACTGCAGTTATCTGCCAAGAAGTTTTAAAATTTCTAGCTTCTATTGTTATCATTTACGTCAATGACGGATTTTTTTCTCTTTTATCACAGGTCAATCAAAGCATCATTGCGAATCCTTTGGATAATCTAAGAGTTGCAGTTCCGTCAACACTTTACATGATCCAAAACAATCTGTTCTACGTTGGCATTTCGAATCTACCGGCCGCAACTTTTCAAGTAATTTTTCAAATGAAACTCTTGACAACTGCTCTTTTCGCCGTTCTGATTCTTGGTCGCAAACTAAACCTCACTAAGTGGGCGTCGCTAGTCATTCTTTCGCTGGGCGTTGCAGCTGTTCAAATTGAAGCAACCATCTCGAAAGATCAAAAAGAAGCAAACTCTACTAATCAAAACCCACTTCTAGGATTCATGGCAGTTCTAGCAGCGTGTATGACCTCCGGATTCGCTGGTGTGTACTTTGAGAAAATCCTGAAGGACTCCGAAGTTTCGCTGTGGATCCGAAACATCCAATTGGGAGTGATAGGAGCTCTAATGGGAGCAGCTACTGCTTACTTTTCAGAGGGCAAAGAAATAATTGAGCATGGGTTTTTCTACGGATACAATGAATACACGATCGGGGCTATTTTCACTCAAGCATTAGGAGGACTGATAATAGCTTGTGTGGTGAAGTATGCAGACAGTATTTTGAAGGGTTTTGCGACCTCTCTCGCAATTATTTTGTCATGTGTAATGTCAGTATTTCTGTTTAACTTTCAAGTTACGCCTGTTTTTGTAGTTGGTGCTACGATGGTTGTTGGATCTGTATACATTTATAGTAAATAACTTCATATGTCTATCAACTTTTTGCATTATTTCGCGAGTTTCAGTTCGCGGCTTTTAATTTGAATTTCAAAAAACAAATAAAATTGAATTTTTTGACTGCAACGAAGTTTGATTTGACGTCAATTGAGAAATAAAAATACCATACAGTTTTCGCAATTTGAACATGTTTCAAAATCATATCAAAAAATTTGAAAGTAGAAAGTGTTTTCATTACATGGTTTGCAAAACTCACCGATGATCAAAAATGAGTCTTAAAAAATCATCGATGATCAAAATTGAGTCTTAAGGTAAGTTGGGAAAAGTATCAAAAATCCGTAACCATATCAAAAAATTTTTGGATTCGTTCCTGTAACAAAGTCGTCATGGATAACGCCTTGGTAAAAAAAAGTCTTCATTTGCCAAAATTTCACCATCGTTACCATTGGACGGTTCTTAGTTGAACTCTGAGATGAAATTTGAACGGATTAATGAGGCAAAGTAGACTTACTTTCTGGCACCGAAAAATATAGCTCTCCAACATAAAGCCAATGTTATTTTGAAGTGATTTAATGGATGCGGATGCAATCTCTTGAAACAGTTTGACCAATCATCGAATCGACAATTTCAGAAAGAATAGAACGGATTGCTACGAAATTTTTTCATTGCTTAAAGAAAGGGTAATGCAATCGGTAACTTAACTTTTTCCCGTAACCAACTTTGTTCACAGAATGGTCAATTTTGTAGAACCAATTAATTTCAAAACATGCTAATTTCCTAACAATTTACTAAAAAAACTACCTTCATTTATGCAGTAAGTAGGTTAAGTCAGTTCCGGGTATAAGTTTTTTTTAAAATAAATTTCTGGAAAAAATATTGAATTTTTATCGGATTTGTAATTTTCGGCCTAATTTTAGTCGGCTCAATTTCCGATGTTTCTTATAAAATTTAGTATTTTATATCGGCTTACTTTGTAAAACAATTTTTTTCATCTTAAAGTTTTTACTATGAGTGAAAGTTCTGTCATTTGTCATTTTACTAAGCCTGATTTTGAAAACCTTTTTTACTTGAACTGTTTCGTCTTGTTTTTTATTGTCTTAGTCATCTTATTTGCATAATTGAAGTCATGAAATCCTGCTAGAAATCAGGTATTATAAATTGTATAGGATTCCCGATTTTCCTTTTTAATAACTTTTTCAAGACAATTTAAAAAAGTATGAGTTATTTTTCGAAAACGAATAAACTGATTTGCAAAATACTATTAAAATGGGAAGACTTCCTACTTGATTGTGTGTTTGCATTTTTTGTGTTTCTTCAAGGTATTCCACATTCAATGACCTTCCAAAAATTGCACAGGGGAAAAAATTTAGCTAATTTTCTTGAATTTTTTTTATTTATTAATCTCTAAAATACTACCAGTAAAATCTGAAGTTATGGTTCAATGGAAAGACCAAAAAGCAAGAAATTCTTTTGCACAAGTCGCTACGCGCTTATATTTACATAACAAAAGTTGTTATTTCAAAAAAGGAGACCATGTCTTATACTGTTTTAACTTTTTACGTCTTTTTCAAAACTTTGGCATCTCATATCTTGGATTAAGGGTTCGATGGGAACAACTGGTTGTAGAAATCTTCCATGCACAATCAACCTTCCATGCCTGTATTTTTCTTTTAAACATTTTACTTTCTCAAAAAGCCTTTTTTGCTATTTTGACCCTTTACGAAAAACTTTCTGACTTGAAAACTACCCTCCCAAATTTAGGCTTAGAGAATCTATGTAGAAATTAGATTGCGGAAGGCCTCCCTCTTAAGCAGCTTCCTAAAATATATTTAGAATTTTGAGAAGTTTTTTTATTATTCACAACAACTACTCTATCATTTTTAACTAAAATTGTTTGCCGCTAGCTGAAATTGCACTCCTGTGCCGAATAAAACCTAAGATTGAAATAAACATGAGGATATTGAATTGTGACCGGGGAAATATGACAAAAAATGGAGTGACAGGCAACAGGTGACCTAAAACAACACACGATTTCTCCAAATTAATAATCATATATATAGTTACGTTTTTGAAAAAAAAAATGGATTAGAATGGATTATTTTGGTTCAAGAAATCGGTTATAATCCATTAAAAATGGATTTAAATTTTAAAACTGGCATATATAACTGATTATAAGGGCCAAAATTTTTGTCACTAGAAACCAATTACTCTAGGGGTTTTCTAGACTCGATACTGCTGGTTTAGCTCGAGCATCATGCTTGGTTGCCGATCCGCGAAAATTTTTTTGAATCGGAACAATCGACTTTTGTAAGATTTTTGGCTGTTTATGTCCAGACTTTTCCATCTGCCAGACGCTTACGACTTATTTTCCAGACTTTTGCGAACATGTTTTGGTTTGTAGCTACCCACGGCGCATTTTTATCGACCCACGTTCCGAATTTTCGACCCAAGGCGCAACTTTCAAGACCTGATAATTAGAACTTCCAGTCTCAAAATCTTGGCGCGACATGGCAATTTTGACCTGGTTTTGGACGCTGCGCGATCTTAGATGTCTGCAAATAACTTGATGAGGATTTTACTGCAAAAAATTGGTACGTCTTTATTCAAAATTCAGCAGCTTGGTTAAATTTGTGCAAGAGATCACAATAATTTTCTCATTTTCAAATAGAAGTTGTGGCTGCACTCCAAATGGACACATATATTGGATTCTGTTGCTGATTGCAACTGTTTCATAGTTTTGCAGGCGAAAAAAAACCGACAAAAAAAATAAAAGTCTTGGTGAAAATTTGTAATTTTGTTTTTGTTCAACTTTGTTTCGACCGACTGGACTTAATGCTTGAAATATGAGTTCGACTGTGCTGTAAATTTGTGTTCAATTGTTTGCTTCGACTTTGTGGTTGATTTAATGTTTCGACATTTTTTTCTTTTTTTTGTTTCGACCAAACTCGACTTTATGTTTCGACTTTGTTTTTCACTTTATGTTTTGACTTTGTGTTCGACTCTATAACTCGACTTTGTAATCGACTTTTGCTTCAATTTTGAGATTGATTTTATCTTCGAACTCTGAATAATGTTCGACACCACTTGGTCGAAACATAAAATGCAAACCTGGACTCGGGTTGCTCATAAGTTAAGTTTCAAAGCCTGGGCCAAAAATTTATGTGAAATAACTACCAACTGTTTGTCGCTGCGTATTAAAGCCTTATATTTCATATTGCCTTCCTTCAGCGCCGAAAAAAACCTAAAGCTGAAACAAACATGTGAAAATATTTGATTTGACTGGATTGTCATGATCAGTCTTGATAAGTTTCAAACAAAATCGATTATAATCGATGAAAAATAGATTATAATCCCATTTTTTATATCAAGCAAAAACTCAAATATGCACAGTTCATCAAAAACCTCTGAAAAAAATCTATTAAGTTCGATTTGATGGATATTATTGATGAAATAAGCGTATGGAGTGTTGAGTGAATAAATTTTCCTCAGAAAATAATCAATTAAAATGAATTTTTGTGGCGAAAAAAAAAATTGATGTTCATCGATATAATTTGACAAAAAACTCAATTTTAATGGGAGAAAACTGGATCATAATGGATAACTTTGTTTTAAAATAAATCGATAGTAATCCATTAAAAAGTAATTTTAACTTCAAAAATGACTTCTATAATCAATTATAATGTCTAATGTTTTTGTCACTAAAAATAAATTATAATCGATTTTTTATCCATGAAACTCAAGCTCCGAGTTTTGTTGACTTTACTTACTAGTTATTTCTTTATTTGTTTGAGTTTGAATGTCTCTTGATTAAAGGAGAAAAACATTTTTTTGCACCAACTTTTGCAGTTATCGAACTGATTGTGGATTGAACAAGTGTATATTGTTATTAAAATCGTGAATACAAAAAAAACGTTTCATCCGTCACTGAAAATATAAGACTCTGTTTAAAAAATAATGGAGAAGTTGGGTGTTATTAGCGTCTATCCTCTATATGCATTAGAAATTATCCTCTGGTATGCAATTTTAGTTAATCTGTTTAATAGTGTACATGTTTTCTTCATGGAGATAAGTTTCTGAATTACCAAGTTTTAATTTTTTTTTGACCTGCAAAAAAAATTGTTTGACAAAATCCTGGCAGAAGAGTTGAGCTGGTGCGAAATTTATAGTGGAAATTAGAACTCGTTAATTGCAAGCAGCTAAATGCTCTAAGATTTTTTTGGCATGTTCTAATGTTCATGTTCATGACAATCCGTATACCCCAATTTATTTGCTTTTCCAGCTTGTCTAGACGTTCTTTTGTGCAACTATTCAAAGCCTTCACAGATAGTGCAAAGGCTTAAAACATGGGTTTTGAGTATAAACAATTTCCTTCTAGAGGAATTTTTTTAATATGCATTTGATGGTTTGGATGGCACTCGCCAACTTCTGTAACACTTTGTTAATTTCTTTTTCAAACGTTAAGCATGCACCGTTGTTAACACCGAGAAACTTGATGCATTCTGATATTTTGACTTAGTTTATACCTATGTACAACTTGCAGTTTCCTATGGGTAATTTTTCTGATGGAGCAGAGAAAGTAATGAACTGCGTATTGTCTACATTTTTTATTAATTGGTTTAATCGAAAATGTGAGAATATTTTGTTGATATTGGATTCAATGGTTTGTGTTGCTGATATCGGTTTTCAAAAAAAATTAAAAGTGCTCTTTCATCGGCATTTTTTGCAAGAGCACACGACTTGTCTAAAGTTTCTGGCATATAAGTTAAACAGCAGAGGTCCTGATACAAAACCCTGAGGCTCATCTTGCTCCAACTTGAGCCAATCTGAATATGCACCATTTACAAGTGTTTGCCGCTGTCTGTTTTCTAGAAATGAATTTTAATGGTCATTGGCTGATGGTTCAAAATCAAAATTCTTCAATTTTTGTTCGAGGGTGGGGTGTGGAAGTGAATCAAACGCTTTTGTTTTTTGTTGTGAGTAGTAGATGTTGGAGGTTAAGTGGGGGGGGGGGGAGGTGGCGGACCCCCATGTATTAAAATAGGGAATAGAGCATTACCTCGGCGCGCGTAATAGAGGGAATCTCGGCGCG